CTTTCCTGGGGCGGTCCTCATGTGAGCCAGTTACTTTGTAGCGCTTGATGGTTTTTGCTTCTGCACTTGGGGACACTTTCAAAGTTTTCCCAATTTTTCAGACTGACTGACCCTCATTTCTTAAAGTAACGATGGCCACTAGTTTTTCTTTACTTAGCTGCTTTTTTCTTCCCATAACACAAATTCTAACAGTCTGTTCAGAAGGACCATCAGCTGTGTGCTGTACCCACCTTCTGCACAACACAACTGATGGTCCCAACCCCATTTATAAGGCAAAAAAATCCCACTTATTAAACCTGACAGGGCACACCTGTGAAGTGAAAACCATTTCAAGTGACTGCACTTGAAGCTCATCAAGAAAAGAGCGTGTGAAGCAGTAATCAAAGCAAAAGGTTTACTTTGAAGAACCTAGAATATAAGACATATTTTTAGTTGTTTCACACTTTTTTGTTAAGTATATAATTCCACATGTGTTAATTCATAGTTTTGATGCCTTCAGTGTGAATCTACAATTTTCATAGTCATGAAAATAAAGAAAACTCTTTAAACGAGAAGTTGTGTCCAAACTTTTCTGTACTGTATGTAGCTGCTTTTAGCTTCTCCGTAAACATCTGACCTAATGTAGTGTTTGTTTTTTATGTTTAAGGTAAAAATTTTATGTAGATGTTTTGTTTCCAACCTGCTCCTAGTGGGAGAAATGTTTTAACTGTTTTTGACTCTCCTTGATTGCTCACAATACATTTCATTGTATCTGTGCTCTGGACGTACTGTCAGACTTCCAAACAGAGCACAAGTTGGCTTTATTTCCTTATTTTGTAGACACAGACATTTAAAGTTGATATTAATACAGATTCTCAAACTCAAGGCCCATGGGCCAAATGTGGCCTGCCACAGCATTTTGTGTAGCTCGCAAGAGCTTCAAAGATGTATTAAAATCCTAAAGGGCCAATATTATGTGTTTCTCAGGCATTTTTCTATTATATTCCATAATAAATTACTATGTCACCTTCAATTGTTGTTAAAATACTGTTTATATGTATGAATCAAAAATAAAATTGACTTTGCATCATAGCTGTTTTTAAACACTTTGAAATTGGTCTCTGTCTCTTTAAGAACCTCCTACAGCTTTCGTCACACCCATTTCTGCACGTCACCACAACAGCTTCATGTTATTTACAACCTGGAACACTGTAGCATACTTTGTTATAATAATAATAATAATAATAAAAGCAGCAATATTATACAACATCGTTTTTGGAAAATGGTACCTCAGGAAACAAGTGAACCTTACCGTCGGAACAGAAAGTATGTTTTCTGAAGAACCAGAGAAAGTAGAGAGACAATGTTTCAGCTGGTAAGATATCACCCAGTCATTCTCACAGACACATGTAATGATTGTAACATAAGTTACGAATGCTAACCGTAGATTGCAGATAAATCAAACGACACTGATGCAAACAAAACAACGCAAGTTGTTTTCAGCTTACCTGGACAGACAGCGACTGCGTTTGTGTACTTCTGAGTGTTGGAATTGCATCGTCTTTTAGTGATAATCTTATTAGTCCACTGTTAAATTCCCTTTTCTTCAGAAAGCTATCATCTGTAAAGTGGCTCGCACAAATATATAATAATAATAATTATATATTTTTTTGTCCTTCGGAGGGTTACTTACAAAAATGAAATCATTATACAAACTATTTTTCAAAGAACCGTCTCATCATTGGCACCTGAAAATATATTTCCTCATAAGCATTTTTTTCAGAAAAAGACTGGACTGAGAAGTATTACAAGCTTGGTGGATGCAGTTTCACCAGTTATTTGCTTGCTAGTTGTTGCTGCTGATAGCCTGCAGGAGTTGTGGGGGAGGCATGCTCTGTGATGAGGAAGCTCAGCTTGGAGACCCAGCCCAGAGGAGGAGCTGCACCTAAAAGGCGGTTCTAGTCCCAACCAGTTGTTTTTGCTCCCCTGCCTAGCTGCCTCAGGACACTACAGGATTTCTCAAACATGCATGAATGAGTCAAAGCAAGACTGGGCATGTTTTTGATGAGAGGATAACATTATAACATGATATAAAGCTTAAAAAGTTGATTTTACATGATATTGCCTCTTTAAAGTAAGTACATACTAATTTAACGACAACATTAACAATAAACTGCATCTCCCATAATGCATGTTTTTTGTACCCAAAAAATGACAACATCCCACCATGGAGGTGCGTAGGGTTCAAAAGTAGCTGTGCAGTCGACAAAATTCAGTCTCAACTACATTGCATTTTTGCCATCTACTTTTGTTGCTGCCCAGTTGTACTGGAAAATAGAATTTCCCACTTAAACTGGAATGCTCCTTCACTGGGAATTTCCTGTCAGAAAGTGGGAGGGTTCAGAATTCAAGACAGCAGCTACTCACCACAACTCAGTTATGAGTAAAACCATCCAAAAAAAGCATCTTTGACTTTTAATAGTATTTCTGTATTATTTATTTCGTATTTAGTCAGTAGTATGCATAGTACTTTTCAGTGTTTATAAGAGGACGTGTTAAAACAATGGGCCTCATGCAAAAACCGTTCATATGCACAGATTTGTTCTTAAATTGTGTGAACGAGTGATTTAGGAGAATTTGTGGCATTCACCAATGTTTTCGTATTCTAAGATTTTTTTTCAGATACAAACAAAATTCACGAGTGGTCCAGACCTGTCGTATATTTTACGAGCAGTCAGTCTGCTGTTATCCAGATGGATTTTCTTCACTAATAACTTTATATTTCATTAGTTTGAAGATATTTCAAGTTGAAAATAAATCACACTCCAAAAATTATGTTGACAACAAGTTATTCTGTTTGAATTGGAATTAAATTTTAACGACATAAATCTATTAGATTAAAGTAAATTGGCTTTTAATGCTGCTGTATAACACTACAATATTAATATGAAGACCTCAAACTAAAAAMCAACTTAAATTATGCATTAATTGAAGTTTGGAGACATTTTAAAATGCDTYTTTTCAGAACCGCATCTGACACTTGTGACGGTCGGGAGGGGTGAGAAGGCCAGGCGGCGGGTGGGGGTGGGGGGGGTGCATAGTGGTGCGCGACTGTACTTCTGAATAAACGAAAACTATGTAACACTGTTGTTTACACTGATATTAAAAATTAACCAAAGAAAAACCAGAGCAGGACTACAGAGAGAGAGAGAGAGAGAGAGAGAGAGAGAGAGAGAGAGAGAGAGAGAGAAATATGATTTAGATTTTAATTTCTGTAACGACCCAAAGGAGACACGACGTTAACAGCAGTCATCATTTCATTCCTCGGCTTTAAAGCAGATCCTTTAATTCCACAGCTGACGCTGCTAAAAATTACTTTTTTTCTGGATCTCTGACAGCAGGACTTCAATCTCCGAATTTGTAAAGTTCTTCTTTTTTACTTTGCGATGTCATTCCTGAATGGACACTTCCTAGTATGTGGGGCAGGAAACGTATATCCTATATGGCGTTTTTGGGGTGGTAATTATTTAAATCACCTCTCCACGTGCACGAGCAGCTGGATACGAACAGGTGTAATTCATCACGTTTACGCAGCTTATTTACACACTTTTCCTGAAGATAGAAGAGTTTGTTGAATCTGACATGACATGTTCGTACGAACCCTTTGTACGAACAAAGGTAAGAGAAATTTAGGATAAGAATACGAACATGTTCTTGCATGAGGCCCAGTGTTTCTATGCAGGAAATACCACGTAGAGCTCAGTTACTGTTTGTTAGCAGTGCATATTTTCTGACACCTGTATATATTACTGCATATGCATTCATGGTGTGAGTTCTGTTTTCACCAGTACGGGCCTGTAGGCATTCATCCTTTTCCCGAAAGCTTAATGTTTTGATCTGGTGTCTGTATGCATACTAGATTACATACGGTATTGTATCATCTTTAAGGTTATAGCTTGGATCTTTCAAAGTATGGTTCTGTGGGAACGTTTCTAACATTCAACATAATATAAACATTTACTTTGCTTTAACTTGGCTTCATAAGATTTTTAAAAATAGTTATTTGCGAGTGAAGATAGGAGCAGCAGCAGCAACTCGCTAAATGTCATAATATTTCTACTGGGATAGTGTCGTAATGAGAAAGTGACAGTGGTTTGGAGGCATGAACCAATACAAAGCTTGAGATTAGAGTCATTTTGAAGACGGTAATCCATTTTAGTCTTCCTCAGGCAACCCATTAGATCATCGATGTGATCAGAATGAAAATATGCTCATCTAAACACAAGTCTAGTCTTGATTGGTCAGCCCAGGTTTGTTGCAAACAAATTTCTAAAAAGTAGAAAATCTTTTCATATTTCTGTTGCAAAAGAAACCCAGGAGTGTTGGGGATATGAACAATGGGCACACCTCCAGTCTGCTCAAACAGGCGTTTGACACATTTAAGATAAACTGACTGCTGAGAAGACTATCAAATCTGCAAAAGGAACGTTTGGATAAAAAAAAAATCAGAATAATAGGTACAGAAAGATAAATGTCACAAAGGAAAGCTCAGCGCAAACAAAGATTCAAGTGTTTAATGGATCAACGAGGGAAAAGTGAACCAAAGCAAGCCAGCTGACATCAGAACGAGGAGGAGGAGGATGAAGGAGGAGGAAGAGGAGGAGGGAGGCAGGCTTTGCCTTTTCTGGTTAAAGAAGCTGAGAGGACAAAGTGGAATTTTTGGGGAGCTGCAGACAGGCTGAGACGTAAAGCAGACTGCTGAAGCTGATGTATGACAAGAGAAGAGACACAGTTGCATGTGGACTAAACTTTAGATGCTGCTAAGGTAAACCAACAGAAGCTGGACGGTTTTATGTTTTCTAAGATGAAGCTGTCCTGAGTTGTGTGGCTGCTTCAGTTTTATGTCAGAAGCAGATCTCATAGATCATTACCATTATCATCCTGCCTTGACCAGGGAGCCTTGTGGTCTGATCCTGCTGTCCTGACTTACACATGTGTGTGTATATATTTGTGCATTTCAGTGTGAAAATAAGAACTATCTTTGGGACATCATGGATGACGACTTTGACCGCCGCATGGAGCTCAGGAGGCAAAGGAGAGAGCAGATGCGACTTGAAGCTGAAAAGTGAGTAAAATCTCTAAAAATGTGCAAACACCTTTAAAAACCCTCACACTTAAACACACAGACAGTTAATGCACACCGAAACCTCTACAAGCACTGAATACCATCAAGATGATCACTTTAACTTAACAAAACCGAAGAGTTTCTCAGTATATAAAACCTCATCTGATGAGACAAGTTCAAAACTCAAAGAAATGAATATATTACATTTAAACAAAGATCACATGTTAGGGATGTATGGAGGTAAATTTGTGTTTTTATGATTCAATCAAACAAAAAGCATCTTCAATCAAAAAAAATAATTTCAATCAAAAAATTTTTTTTATTGAAATTATTATTTTTTGATTGAAGATGCTTTTTGTTTGATTGAATCATAAAAACACAAATTTACCTCCATAGTGATGTCTCTCAGTGACCACTACACCTGATCTTAGTGCAATGTCTGCAAAATTCTCTGAGTTAAACCTATTTTTGTGTTTTCAGAGGTCTGTTGACTGAAGCGACCATCTTGAATTAGTTTGACCTCGAGTATTGATCAGTTAGGCATCTAGTGGTTACTGAAAGTTTCATTTAATTTTGTCGTGTGGTCGGTGATATTATTATTATTG